CTCTTTGATGATCTGTATAGTTCATCAGATCACTTTCAAGAAAGAAACGGTCATGTGTACAGTAATTGTGATTCCTAGCCCTTGGCTTACTTCTGCATTTCCTTCCTGCCCCAAAATAGTAGTAACTACAGTAGTACCTGCAGTTAGTTTGTTTACTGATTTCTCTGCTGCTGCCAGAGATCACTAAAAATTTACAATGATTGAGAACCCTTGGTAAATGGACTCTGCAGATTGTATTTTAGAAAATATACCAACAGTTTGCAAATACGTCAAAGAATGATTTTAAAACAGATAGGCAAAATAATAATCTCTTCATAGTATCTAATCTTAAAAGATAGGGAAATTCTGGGAGACGTTTATTCCACTACCATTGATGTTGAGTCACACTTGGAAGATTAGAAGTAAAAAAAAGAAAGGAAAGAAAAGAATGAGAACAAGGAAAGGCACACCTTAAAAAAAGCCTCTATTTCTCACCACAGTCTGCACAGGATTCACACAGCCCAAATTTTGCGATAGACTGTTGCTGAAATAAATTTACAAATTTTTAACAATAGATTCATTAGAATATGTGAAAGGCAGATTTAGCAGAATTGGGATCAAGTCCTATTTAACTTGCTTGATCTGGTGCTTAAGGAAATGTCAGTTCTTCACAGATGCAACTTACTCAGGCACCCACACAGTTGCTCATTCATTCTGTAACGAAAAGCCAACATCATGGTGGAAATGGAAACTGGGTTAAGAGCACTTTTTAGTGTCATTTGTTGCTAACTGGTCTCAGGTTCGTCCTTCACAATGGATTATATTTAGGTAAAATGAACATTTTAGGCTGTCATCTACACTCCTTAAGAACAGATGCCACATGTTTTTAGACTTCTGGAGCAGCATTTTAATGCCTTCACCATTATCCTTAAATGAATATTCTTAATTTGATATGACTCATTTAACATATGTGTGTCTTTTAAAACAATCTCCATTGTCTTATTTGACTTTTCCAAGATGCTTAAGTTCATGTTCCTACCGCTTGCACTCTGCCTAGCCTTTCTTTTTTATTTTTTTGAAGGGTCACAGTGCTAGACAGGTGTATAGAAAACCTACTTCCCCTCTGTGTGTTTCTCCTTTACTGTCACACTCTACCGTTCTCATAACACTTCTGACACCTGACACCAGTGTATGAGGTTCCCCCCAACACACACACACACCAAGCACTGCTTTGGGACACCACCTGGGTGTCTTACAATTCAAATTTGACACTAACCAGGATTAGCACAGACCCCGCAAGTTAAGGTCTCAGTCCCACAGGACCACTCCCCTTTTCAGCTCCAGTGGCAAATGGTAGGTCTCCAGCGCTGTCCAACTCAGCTGCAAATCGGAGCTTCCCATGATGTCCCCACCTTGGATTTGATTATTTGCAGGAACATCTCACAGAACTCAGGGAAATATTTACTTAGATTTTCCAGTTTATTATGTGATAGAGGACCCAGATGAACAGCTCGATGAAGAGACACATTGGGCAAGGACTGGTAGGGTCCTGAGAGTAGGAGCTTCTGTCCTCATGGAGTTGGGGTGTGTTACTCTCCCGGTGAGTGGATGAGTTCACAAGCCTGGAAGCTCTCCGAACCTCATACTTTGGGGAGATTTACAGAGGCTTCCTTCATAGTCATGATCAATATTTCTAGCCCTTCTCCCCTTCCCCAGAGGACAAGGCTGAGCTGAAAGTTCCAAGCTTCTAATTATTATTTGGTCTTTCTGGTGTCCAGCTCCCATCTAGGAACCCATTAAGAGTTGCCTCATTAGAACAAAAGACTTTCATATCACCCAGGAAATTAAGAGGGATTTAGGCCCTCTGTCCCAGGAACTGGAGGGCAGAAACCAATATATATTGTTGGAGCTCAGGGCAAGTGGCCCCAAAATGTGCCAAAGTGGCATATTGATTATTTTGAATTACAGTTACTTAAGAAGTAGCCAGTGCAAGAACACTCTAACTCTTCTTTGTCTCCAGAAATCAGGAGATAAATCTGCCATGTGAATGGTACCCTTCCTGCACCAGGAGGTAGAGAAAATCCTTATCACAGAGATAGGGTGGAAAAGGCTGTGTAAACAAACTCTGCTTAGATTTTTCACTAACTAGTAGCCAAACCCAAGTTTCCTTGTCTTATAAATTCATCACAAATTTATTATTTCTTTACCTAGGAGGCATAAAAGCTGCCTGCTTTGGTCACTTAAGTCTTATATCTACAAGACCTCCATGCAGATGAAATGAAATTTGATTGTCTCCTGCTAATGTGTTTTCTTTTTCATTTTAATCATTAGACCAGCCAAAAAAACAAAGTGGGCTAGGGGGAAAATTTTTCCCCTCCCCCCTACCTATCTATTGATCGATCTAACTCTATTTGATTTAAACAAATCACAAACTACATCTCTTTGGCATCCCAAACAATGCCTACTATCTCCGATTTCAAGCACAGAACATAAATGAACTTTCTTGTTATATCATCTTTTATTGTCCAGGCTTCCTCACCTCCACTGGCCAATTTTTGTTACGGAAGAATAGATGGGAGGATGGAATGGGAAGTATAATTTATCCACTTAACACACACAAACAAAGAATGAAACACATATCTACAGTGGTAATAATGTGCATCTATCATTCTTCTAACTCTGAACATATTAATGTTAAATAAATGTCACATTTAAATTTTATTTATTCTTTTGGTTGGCAGATTCTAGTCCCATATGCTTTTTTATTTCTTTTTCACTATTGCATAGAATGAGTTGTTCTGATATGCAAAATTGACATCTCATCCTTTGTACTTTCAAAAATAAAAGTCATATTTTTGATGTCAGAATAGATAACAATTTAACAAATATTACCTTGTCGTGTACTTAGCTTCTTTTCAAATTCCTGATTGAATGTATTCTTAAAATACTAAACAAACCACCAGAGCATGTGGATTTGATATGTCGTTTTGTGAGGTGATGCAGGGTGGGGGTGGGAATGGACTGATTCCATGTTTCCTTAAATGGGTTTTTTAATCAAATGCATGGAGAAGTCTGGGAAGGAATATAATACAAGACTGGATAATTTTCCTGGGCAAATTCCAAATATCTTTCAATATTTATTATATATTACATATATAATTTAGTTTGATTTTTATTTTTAAAATTTACTGTATGAACATTTTCAGATACACACAAAAATAGAAGGTAGACCATAATTGACTTATGTATATTTATCCTAAACCTAACACTTTTTATTGTTGTATTTTATTTCTTTTTAGTAAAATCTAATTCAATTTCTTTAAAAGGAACAGAATTTTAAAATAATTGAAATGATTTTGGACAGCAAGTAATTATCTTAAAAATTATTTTTGATACCAGGGTATTAGTAAGTTCTTAGCATGTGGAACTAATTTTCCTTTAAAGGAAATGTGAAATCACTGGGGAGATTTTTAAAATTGGTTCATTGTCTTTCAAAAGAAAAATTCAGGTCTATGTATATGTTTAGAATTTGAAGAATTATGTTTGGTAGACTTTTAAATTTTAAGTTGTGGACTTTTGAGATTGTTTTAAAAATTTTTTTCCAAAATCTAAGACAAAAACATTATTTCAACTTATTGTTGATTTTTTAAAATTTAAATTGCTAAGTAGGAAAAATGTTTTTCAGAACATAAAAGTATTAAATGAATGTATTAATATATTATATTTAATCATTTAATCTAATAATCTCTTAATATCATTAATTATTCAAATTCCTCAAATTAAAAAATTTTAAAAACTTGTAAAATATTTATAACATAATAGAATATACAACTCATCTAATAAAACATGCTAATCTGATTCTTTATGATATAGTGCATCAGTAATACACACCTTGAAGTCTAGGTATCAGATTGAAAATCTGAGCTCTTTTGGTTACTTTCCTAGGGACACTATTTTGGTAAACTGGGAAATGGAGAGTTCCATTAGTAGTCAAACACAGTTTTGAAGGGAATGAAGAAAACTTGTATAGAAAGAAATTCACTAAAAATTAGAGTCATGCATACAAAGAAAAATGCCTAAAAATAACTGAAAATTATGTCCATTTGTAGTGAAGCAATACGGGAAAGATTTTTGTTGTTGTTGTTGTTACTGTTTCAATGCTTTCTTTATTTTTTTCTTTTGAACCAAAGAAGGTGATAAGGGAAATAGAACATGTGATTATTGGATAAAAATTAACAATGAAACACTCATTTTTATTCTGATTATAGAAATTGGCCAAATTGAAGAATGTGCTGTGAGAAAAACACGTCAAGGTTTTTATTCTACTCTAGGCTCCCTGGCCTCTGCTTCATTGGGAAGAGCTGAAGATGCTTGTTCTCATTTAGTTCTTTGTCCCATAGCTTCTCTCTCACTTTGCTTCTAAGAATGGAGGAGAAATCCTATTTATTTTGGCTGTTATGATGAAGAGGGCCAAGTGACACCCTGTGACTTCAGAAAAGAGTATGCCACTAAAGGGAAAACCCTGTAACTACTGTATACTTAAGGCAAAATCATTCCCTCAGTTTGGCATTCCAGAAAATTCGGTGGACACTGAAGAGCAGGTTCCACTGCTCCAACCCCCACACAGATGCCTGATTTCCTGATTCCATAATGTATATAATGTTTACCAGCCTTGTAGAAGCAAGGCTTATGGTAATTACCATTTTACACTAAGCTTTTTTTCTTACGTCTTGTTTTTTGAGGTGACTAGTTTGAAAAATGATCTCAATCTGTGTTTCTATATATATGGATATTTTGGCAAAATCAAATAGGCATCCTTATTCTTGAGGACATGAAAAAAATCTACTATACTCTAAGTAGTAAAATCTAGACTGAAAACATCAGGCTATTAATATTTTAGCATATTAACACACTAAAACTATCGTTTATATATTTGTTTCCTATATATTAGCATATGTATACACATAAATACTTATATTTCTATTTTTGTTTTAGTCTTTATTATTTCTCATCTTTTTCAGATAATGTTTAAAGGACCCTACAGCAATCTTTGGTGTTGGCCATATTCAAAAGCTCTTCAATTTTTACCCTCCTGGTCCACTGCCCTCCAGCTTTAACTTGCTTGCAATCCCTTCAAGCATTTTACATGTTTTGCAATGGTTACATGAACTTTTGGAAAGTGGCATTTGCACCATCTCATACTTTATTCACAATGGCACTTTAGGAAGAGATCTTGGAAAAAGCTTCCAAAGCAGTATTTTAAAAAATGAATCTTATTGGGAAGCTTCGGAGAAGTTTTCGAACCCTGATTGTTCTTTTAGCTACCTTTTGCCTGTTGAGCATTGTCATTTCTGCCTATTTCCTCTACTCTGGCTATAAACAGGAAATGACACTTATTGAAACCACTGCGGAAGCAGAATGTACTGACATTAAAATCCTACCGTATCGATCAATGGAGCTGAAGACAGTTAAACCTATTGATACATCCAAAACGGATCCTACTGTCCTCCTGTTTGTGGAGAGCCAATATTCTCAACTTGGTCAAGATATTATAGCTATCTTGGAGTCCAGCCGATTTCAGTACCACATGGTCATTGCCCCCGGCAAGGGAGACATACCTCCTCTTACAGACAATGGCAGAGGGAAATATATTTTAGTTATTTATGAAAATATTCTGAAGTATGTTAGCATGGACTCATGGAATCGAGAGCTTTTAGAAAAATACTGTGTGGAATACAGTGTTAGTATAATTGGTTTTCATAAAGCCAATGAGAACAGCTTACCTAGTACACAATTAAAAGGTTTTCCATTAAACCTTTTCAATAATCTGGCTCTAAAGGACTGTTTTGTCAACCCTCAGTCTCCTTTGCTGCATATTACCAAAGCCCCCAAAGTTGAGAAAGGCCCTCTTCCTGGGGAGGACTGGACAATTTTTCATTATAATCATTCAACCTACCAGCCTGTGCTTTTAACTGAGTTACAGACGGAAAAACCCCTTCCATCCTTGTCTGGCAAACCGCTCTATGCGACGGTGATTCAGGATCTGGGGCTTCATGATGGAATTCAGCGAGTACTTTTTGGCAACAACTTGAACTTTTGGCTGCATAAGCTCATCTTCATAGATGCCATCTCCTTCTTGTCAGGGAAGAGGCTGACATTGTCTTTGGACAGATACATCCTCGTGGACATTGATGACATCTTTGTTGGGAAGGAAGGAACAAGGATGAATGTCAAAGATGTAAAGGTAAGAACATTTATAAATAACATCATGATTTTACTTCACTGACTTGGTGGTATTGATAAAATATAATTTTGAATATCTTATATTCCTAATTACTCAAACCTTTAAGAGGCAGTAGGTTTGAAATAAAGTAAGCATTAAAAAAAAAACAAACTTGAACTAAGCCTTATCCATTCCTCAGCTACACCTTAGATGTGTCAGAGGACCATTGAATTAAATATTTCAAAGAGTATTTGAATTTAATCCCCCTGCCTCTTCCTAGGCTTTGCCCATCCCAGCTACCCCCCCCCATAGAAATGGCCTCCTTTACTCTGCACATGTTGCAGTTTGTAGCAGCGAGACTAATAGAGGCATGGAAACCTATCACTGGGCTGGACTAATTATTCTTCTGCCCGACCTGGGTTTGACAATGGTGTATGAAATACAAGATGGAGAAGCAACCCAGGACCTTTCTGCAACCTCAAGTAAGCATAATTCTTGCCTATATGAAATATTCATACACTTGTAAATATAGCTATGAACAAAAAAAAGTTTTACAGGGAATGTGGTATTGGACTGACCTCAGGAGGCTTCCATCACTATCTCTATTACCATATCGTTTTGGGTAAAACAGTAGAGTTACTGGAATCGCTCCTAGGTTATGATCAAATTGACTGCAGAATAACAAATTTACCCCATGATTGCTATTAGATAAAGAAAATGCCAAATATGTTTTGCTGGGTTAGGTAGGCAGTTCTGAGAATAATTCCTTTTTTTATCATCTTGATTCAACATTCTCACTTGGGTCTATCTTGTTTTATGTATAATTAAATTCATTCTGTGAATCAATAATTTTAGCAAACATAGAAACAAAAATAATAGGACACAGCTTAGAATTATAAAGGAACTAAAGATTGCTAAGATCATATCATCTTTTTTGAATTTCTGCTGTTTAGTCTTTTTATCCTCTAAAGATGAAGCCTTCATACCACTTCAAAATAACAGCTTTTTCCCCTTATCCTAACATATTATGACCACTATCATAAAATATAATTAAGACCAGTGAAATAATTTCACTTTTTAAAAATCTTCAAAGGAAATGTAGACCAAGAAACTGTTTTTAGTGAGCCACTAAATGAAGAAACACTTAACTGAGATCCAACAATTTCATTTTGGGCATAGTTGTAAAGGGATTTCTGGAGTTCAATCTAGATTTCTCTTTTTTTTTCCTGTTATGTTTCTCATATTTACTGTTCCTTTTAATTAATATAAATGCTAGTTTTATTTTAATTTCAAAATCATAAACTTAAGGCAAGGTCCTGTGCTTCAGATGGTTCCCTAAGCGATTCCTATCCTGAAATCTTGAAAAGAGAAGGTTTTCCGATGTCAGTCTAACAAACTATATTGCTTGAAAAAGTTCTTTATAATTCTAACAAGATTTTCCCACTCCAATTCAGCTATCTCACTTACTCTCTATAGAGAAACAAAGAGCTATTCACCTCTACTCAAATAATATACAGGATTATTGATGATTTCTTAAGTGATATAACCCCAAACAAAATAACTGAATACTGAAATTTAACGAAGGCTAGAGCAATGCCACAGGCAGATAAAGAATCAGTAAAGTTGAGTGTGTGTGTGTGTGTGTGTGGTGGTGTATGTGTGCATACGTATACTAATTATATAGTCTACACGTGTGTGTGTGTGTGTGTGTGGGTGTGTATGTGTGCATACGTATACTAATTATATAGTCTACACACACACACACACACATGGTAAGTTAACTGGAAATACTCTTTTCTACCCCTTCAGATGTTATTTCTGGTTCTCTCTCAGAAGTATTAATCAAAGAATATCAGAAACTTTGTAGGGAGTGAGGTCTATTAACCTCTTGGGTTTCTTACAGGTCAATTGGAATTATTGGTTTTCAATATAAAAATCATAGTTCTAGTCTTTGGCATTTGATTTCTATTTTGACTAATGTTTTTTCCATAAATATGATTTTGTGGGAGAGAATCAGATTCTCTGTGTAGAGAAGTTCTGCATACTCCCAGTTCTCCATCCTCATGTTCATTTCCTGGTGCTGTAACATTTCATAACACACAGATAGATGAGCAGAAATCCATCCTCCTTCAAAAGTGCCCTGAATTTTCTAGAGGAAGGGTACTGGATATCTAGTAACATTTTTCTGTATTATTCTGAAATTGAGAGTACAGGTGTTTTGTTCCCCAGTGGAACAAACTGAGGAAAGCTGGAGGGTCATGGTTGAAAATGCTTGATTATGTGTGCCACTCACCCCAGGCCACTCCCACAGTTAGATTGGGAGCAGGGAGCGGGGAGTAGTTAACAGCAGATTCAAACATAGCCTTGTCTGCAGCACTCTATGGACAAAAATGTAGTAGCATATTTTTATTTGAGCCAATTTACCCACTTTGAGATAGAGATTCTGGATCACAGTGCTAAAGAATCAGCATTTTTAATGTACAGAATCTGATGCAGTGAAAAGAATATGAGCTGTTTAACTGAATTTGAAAGTCCGTATTCTTTCCACTGCATGGTTCTGTCAGATTTAAACTATAACATATCTAGTTTTGGGGTTTGGGGGGTTTTATTAGAAATTTTCATACTTTATCTTATTTCATCATGCTCTCATTTGACCAAAGCTACTGAGGCAGAAATTAATTTGTCCATTTCCAAATCAGGCAAAATTAAGATCAGGCAGTTTCAGTAACTATCATCTAATTGTTAATAAAATTTCATTGTGTATCTAAAAACTCAAGATATGAGAGAAAAATTAATGAATAGAAACTTCTAAAAACTAATTATATTTTGAAAGATTGTGAAATATTAACTAGGGATAGATCAGAAAATATAGCCACATTTTGATTTGGTAATATTTCAGTGTGGTCCTCAAGGCAATCCCAGAATACTTCCTGTATATCTAAAGCTCTATTAGCAAGATGACCTTAGGCTATTTAGGGGGATTTCTTATACACTCGAATTTATTCTTTCTTGGTTTTGAAAACAACTCTTGTTTTCATTATGATCTTAATTATATGTAGGTAATGTTCATTCCAAAAGTGGTATTGGTTGAGTGAGCACGCATTTTTAGAGAAATCTAAAATAATAAAGGGCCATCCTGATTATTAAAAATTAAAAAATTAATTTTAAAAGTTTCCTTGCAGCCCAATAACCTGATTTCTGTGAACAGTGTTTTACCCCTGGTTGGAACACTTGGTACTGTACATAAAACTTTGGTAGCGTACAGAAACTATGTTCTTTGTTCATAGTTTCCCTAAGGCAGAATAAACACTCTTTCTCAATGAGGTTTTTGAAAATCGTGAACATGGTGAATGTAAGCTTCCACACTGGCAGCAAAATCAGATTTATTGTTGATGCTACCAGTAAGTTTGGTTCTCTACTCAGGCATGTTGACCTGTCGTTATTCTTTCTGTTGGCAACAAAACATCATTAGTAGCATTTTTATATGTCTGCACTTCTTGAAGAAATACATCCATTTATTTATTGAACATCTACTGTATGCAAGGATATATTTAAGTCATTATCTGCCTAAGAAATCCAAACTTATTTTAAGTATGTGATCCTGCTTAATTTACCTTTTCAATATTTATTCTTACTACTTCTCAATACACACTGTTTCTGTTAGGCTAGCCCACTGTGTATTCATTCCTCTGTGACTGCCTGCTCATGTTCACTTTCACCTCTTTTCTCAGCTTCCATGCCTTGACTAAAATACTTTCCTTGAATCTACCCATATTTCAAAAGATAGTTCAAACAGCAACTTCCTGTGAGAAGGTGACACATGTAGAAAGTGACTTCACTTTAAGCTGAGACTGAGTCCTTGAATAATCATTGGCCTTAACTGTCACTTAGCATCTTCAAGTACATGAGTCAACTCCAAAAGCAGGTGGTGAACTAGTTTTCCTCTTACATCTAATTATGTCCCAACATATGTAATAAGCAACCTTAGACATAATTGAAAATATTATATTGACAGTTATTATATTGTTTTTAACTGATGAGTGCAGAATTAATTAGTCTCAGAATTGGCTTACTACTGTAGAAAATAGTAACTTAAATACAGTTTTGAGCTTTGTCTCAAACCTAGTGATATGTATATTTTGAGTCAGTTGCAAAACTAGGGGGAAAAAAATCTACATTGTAAACCTGAAGTCCAAATCAATAATAGACTCTAAGCACTGGGCTAATCGTTAATGGGTAATATGTCATTTAGTATGACAGTACTAAGAGGAAACATTTTGTACATTTTTTGTATGAATAAAATGAGGCTTAGCAATATTAAGATACTCATCTAGCTAGTAAATGGCAGAGCAAATCCAGACTATTTGTCCTGGATGTGTGAGCTTTCTTTTAGAAAACAATGGCTTGTGCTTGGGTTTCAGTCTGGGCATCTACACTTACTAGTTAACCTTGAATATGGCTGAAAACCTCTCTAATTCTGAGACTGCAGATCTGTAGCACCACAGGAAGCAACACTATTTTTAGTATCATGGTGAGGCCTGAATGAGAGGAATGGAAGAAGCTAGGACAGAGCCTGGCCTGTTGGATTGACTCAGCTTAGGTTGGTGGCAGTCAGGATGGAAAGGGGAGATTGAGAACACCCAGACAGAAGTAGAATTGACAGGACTTGTGCACATATTCAAGGAAGGAGCAGAAAAGAAGGTGGAGATGATGTAGCATCATGATTTTTAGCCTGGGTATGTCCGTAACATACGCAGAATCAGGCAGAGGAAAAGTTGCTAGGAAGATGAGCAGTTTGATTTAAGACCGAACAATTTAACATGGGACATCTAGATGCAGGCATTTGAAAAGGTATATCTAGATTTTGGATACCATCAGAGGTGGCAGTGTAGATTTATAAATTATCAAGCTTAATACTTGTAATTTTCATAATGATCACTAAAGGGAAATGAGTCAAAGAAGAAGAAAAACAGATTGAATGCATCATCTTGGATACCCTGGAACAAATCCTAGGTCATTAA